TTTTCTAATTGTTGCTGTTGTCGGCCATCATTCTTTTCTAATTGTTGCTGTTGTCGGCCATCATTCTTTTCTAATTGTTGCTGTTGTCGGCCATCATTCTTTTTCAATTGTTGTCGCATTGTCACTGAAGTCGGCCATTATGGTTTTTAATAGATGTATAGTAAATAATGATTAAAATTTAAAGGAATTGTTTGTAAATAGTAGGTATGCAACATATCGTATACTTCAGCATAAGAAATTTCTGATACTAACTATGTAATACTACTTTTACCCTGTGCTGACAGCACTCATAATTTCTTTTATATATAATATTATTCGGCACCTCCCAATACCCGGTGTCATTATCCGGTACCCGACTAGACAATGACGGCATTTTATCTAGGATTCGGCCGGAAACCCGATCCAAAACGGGTTCATCTCTCATATACGTAGAAGCAATATCTTAGAAAAGAAAAACTAACTAGCTTTAACTCGAGATTTCTCTTGTTCGAGCATAACTGGTTTCATTAAGAGGTTCAACACAGGGAAGCTTGATGACTGTGTTAGACATCGCCGGAAATTTGACTACCTTACATTTGCCAAAGAAAATCTGTACCTACGTTCGATTTTTGAACATGAAAAGTCCACAACAAAGAGTTGACAATTTATTACCTTACAATACTTGCAAACACAGACATGAGTAGAGAGAAAGTATTCCCAACATGCAGATGATTACCGTGAATTGATATCAGCATGTAACCGACCTTTGCGCCACATGATACTTCAATAACAATATCCGATCGTTACGAGGTTATTTAACAATATAAACCGTTCAATAGATTACATGTATATCTATACACAATATATACGTATGTTATTCATTGTTCATACTAAATTGTTTCGTATCCTGTTATTTGTTTTTACTTCAAAACAATCAATAACGAAGGTCTAAACTCTAAATCTCCAATCAAACCTAAATATCTAAAGTGATTTACATTTAAATAAAAGCTGCCTGTCTATGCAACAAAAAAAAAGCAAAACTTGACTTTTTTTCTTTCCAAAAAAGACAGTAGGTTAAATATTCAAAACTGTTTTTTTTCAGAAGAAGGTATCTAACTGTGCACTATTTGTATTCATTTATTCTATTGTCTGTAAGGAAAAAATTGAACACCATGATGAATCCAATCGGTTAGGTTAAATAATTCGCGAACATTACTTTTTAATAATAAAACTAAAATACAAAAAATATTACACTAATTCGTAAATTCCATCATATTTTGACAATTTAATTTGTTCATTACATAGGTACCCTAAGTTCTGAAGAAACCAAAATTTGGCGAAACAGCTACTAAAAACTTATTGTCTTTTACGAGGGTGGATTGATAAGTTTCCGGCCTGACCAAGAAAAACAAGGTTTTTAAAAATTTTTTTTTTTTATTTCTCAACATAATCTCCTCCAAGGCTGATACATTTCTCATAGCGGTGTTCCAGTCTATTAATGCCATCTCTATAGACTGATTCGTCAAGCTCCTCAAAATAACCATTTACAGCTTCGATTACTTCTTCATTGTCCGCAAATCTCT